GTGAAGTCTAACGTAACAAATTAGAAATTATAAAAAACCTCTCTTTTCTACGGCCCCTTCACCAACTACTCTTGACGCCAGTTGTACAAATTCTCTGTCTTCCATTTCATCTATGATTTTCTCGGGATTAGAACATAAAACTGAAATTTCTAATCTTTTCTGCAACTCTAACACGGGAGATCCTTCCATTTGGCCTTCCTGTGAAGAGAAAACAAAATTAGCTGCTCATGAGTGGTCGTGGTGCATATAAGTATGGCATAGATTTTTCTATTACACTGTCCCTTGTTCGTGTGAAACCCGCAAGCATACGGGATCGTTGTGTTGGAAATGAATGAAATTAAAATTTCAGTTTCAGTCAGCAGCAGCCCCTCAACTGTTCCCTCTCCTTCAGTTTCAGATTTTATTGATGGANTGGAGTCCTAACACAGTATAATCAAGAAACTGGAAGTACTTCCTCTTAAACAGGGAGTCATAAATCAGAATAATCAAGAAACTGGAAGTACTTTCTCTTGCACACACTATCACTCGAGTATATCAAATTAGAGCTTCTCATCCATCATCCGTAATGTAGAATATTTTCTTTAACAAAAAGCTTACAGAAGGCACATTGTAATGTTAATATTGCACAGGAAGGAAGATGACACCAGCAAGGATGGGAGAATTTTGACATTATGTACAAATTGAAGAAGTTAAATACAAAGCTCATTGGATTTTAATTCAAATTGAAATCAACTAGAAACAGATAATAAGAAGCTCAATGAAGCTAACCATCTCTACCTGAGAAGCATTTCTAACATGATAAAATCGAAAAGCTTCCTTTCCACTAAAACCATATTTCGCAGGTTGTAAATTTGATCCAGCCTTTCCTCTGCAACAATCAAAGACTACCAAATATTTATTCAAATAAAATTTCTAGTTTATCAAATTATTGAAAGGGAAACCAAAAATATATATTAAATTCACAGGTGCTCTCTCTTTTATGAAGATAGATTGATTCTAACATGTGGTTTCAGGCTATCAACTCCTACTACAGAAAATGAAATAAATGGGAATTATACTTCTTCATTTTGACTTTCAGAGTTGGATATGAAGCATTAACATAATTTCTAAACTACAGTGGCATAGAGATTATTCAACTTTTCCCCCAAGAGTGCAATCACTTTAACAAACTATCCCTGAAACTTGAGATTCACATTGATATGAGAAAAATAATGTCGAAGAGTTTAGTCTCACATATTGTGCCGAGTAATCAATCGTTGGTAGTCGTGCAGTAATGGACTAAGCTCCTTCAATGTTATTGACCTTGGTGTAGACTTCATCCAGTGATCACGGAGTGCCTGGACAATCATTGAGAAAAAAAGAGTATCAGGAGGCAAGGCAGATGTGTGTGAGTGGAGTGAAGTCTAATGTAACAAATTAGAAATTATGACAAACCTCTCTCTTTTCCACAGCCCCTTCACCAACCACTCTTGATGCCAGTTGGACAAATTCTCTATCTTCCATTTCATCTACGATTTTCTCGGGATTAAAACGTAAAACTGAAATTTCTAATCTTTTCTGCAACTCGAACACTGCAGATCCTTCCATTTGGCCTTCCTGTGAAGAGAACAAAAATTAGAAGCACAAGTGGTCGTGGTGCTTATAAGTATGGAATAGATTTTACTATTGCACTGTCCCTCTTAAGGTTTAGAATTTTAGACTTTTTAAACTTCAAATAGGTTACCTTGCTGCAAGTGAAAGATGCAGAAAATACGAGCAGATTTAAATGTTTTGACTGTGCCCATGCATGCTATGTTGCTGCATCTTGTGAGAAAGTAAGACATTTTGAAGGGCAGAGAAGTCAGTTTCGAAGTAAAAAAGACTTCTGTAAGACTACTATTCTGTTGGTTCTAAGGAAACCCATTTCATCTTTGATTCCATTGTGGACTTCTTCGCTGAGTAGAAAGCTTATAATGCATCTTTCTAGGGTTATTTTTGGCTATTGATNGCTATTGATGGTATTTTCTTGTTCCTGAATTGGTCTCTTTCATCTTTTTAGGTTTATTCCCTACTCGGGGCAAAGATCAGCCTGATTTTGATTTTCTCATATATGACAAATCTTCTCATTACCATTTCTTTTCAGCTTTCAGAGAATGCTTCAAAAGATTTTTTAAATAATTGCAAGTATTGAAGAGAAAAAAAAAAGATTTGTATACATAGATCATGTCAGAAGCAAGCAATGCAATGTCAAGAAGAGTGCTACACCTCCAGGAGAAGATTGTGGGAGGAAAGGCAAATATATAGTATTGTACGACAGTCTTACGTCAAAGCTTTTTAAAGGTAGAGAAGAAGAGGACAAAATAGTTTTTCAGGTCATTACCTTGGTTCCAGATAGGGTATCATTTACCATGGTTGTATTCCTATTTTCTGACATAACTTCAGATGGAGATGTTATCATCCTCTTTGCAATAGGGTCCCCTGTAACCAAGGATCAATTCACAAGAATCTATGAAGAGTAAGATTCAACTAATAAAGTAAATGCACAACAAAAATTTATAAAAAGAAAGAAAAACAAAGAAAAATGCCCAAATATGTATAAGAATTTATCCAGTAAGATTACAATCTTTGCTTACAACCATCATGAACAAGCCGGAACAAATGAACACGGTGAATCACAAATAATCAAGATTAAGAGAAAACAAAAAGTGCATATGACACTTGAATAGCAAAAAATATGGTCGCGTGCTCCAATATTTGCAGAGAAAATTCAGGTGGAATGGGTAGGAATTTACAATTTTAAAAAAAGTTGTGCTATACATCAATCACCAATGACCAGAACATCGTTGAGAAAAAGCAATATTAATTTAAATAAAGCATGTAGTTAGCAAGGCCATCATGTAATGTGTCATTAAATAATTGTGTTGTAAGAGAACTCAACACCTTCAGGTACGAGCCACCATAGATCATCATAGGTTGACTTTCCGTCAAAGCCGCCAAACAGTAAGTAACGTGAACCAACATAATTCATAGAATGGTATGCTCGAGCAGCCGGGGGTTCATTACTAGTTGGCAAACGTTTCCACTGCGCAGACACTACATGCAATCATAAAAAACAAAACTTTCAAAACTTGTACTATTAAGAAACAAAGTGTAAGGGTAACAAAATTCACAAAACATTCTATAAATTATATATTTACAGAGGAAGGGAAACTCTTTCCATAACGAAAGGGCTGGACGATGAAAAGTGGGACCCTTTTTGAACAAAATGTGTTCAGGTCAACAATGTGAAACAAGCTCTATGAAATAGTAAGAACTACAAAGATCAATAGAGGAACTGGAAAAATCACAATCACCATCAGGTTGTATTAAATCAAAAGTAAACCACCACCAGTTTAGTAAGAGTCAGACGGATAATACTGACCCCTGTCTAGAACAATACAGTCGTTATGATAAATATCATAACGGCTCAACCAACCACCAGTTCCATGCCCTCCAAACAATAAGAGCTGCAAAGAGAGAATATTTGAAAGTTAACCTTCACAAGTTGAAGATCAGCGATAGGAGTCATTAAGACTGGCATGGTTTTAATGATTACAATTCACCAATTACAGAACATACAGCACATTACATCTGTAGATAATCAGATACACTAGATACTCTTCAGCCTCAACAGAATATTCCACGGGATGAATGAAGCTACTTCTAAATGCAATCTTCACACAAATCATAAGTAGCTTTATAAGAGTGTCTCCAAGAGACTCTTTATTTATAAATAGCATCCTATGTATTATAGAGAGCACCTTTAAATTTAGAGTCACATTTTTTATACATTCCAACAAACTCTCTATTTTGGCTCTTCATTTTACTTTTCTTAAGAAGCATTTATTGATTTCTCTTTATATTTAATTAAATATAATTTTTTATATGTCAATTGACAAATCAATTTAAATATTGTTTGAATAATTTAAGAAATAGAGTATAGAAATATGTGATTTATTTAATACAATCATTATACATTAAGAATAGTGAGTGAGTTTAGCTCTCTAAGGTCATCTCTAGTGCTGCACCAAATTAAAATTCATTTCCAACCATCACACCAAAAGTTACACCAAATGAAC